TAATCTGTGAGAAATGGATTGTTACAGATCCCAGCTCTGCTGATGAAGCAGTTCCAGTTATAAAATCCTGTGATTTTGTACACTGAAGTTTCCAGTGGCCATCATGATATTAGGCACTGGAACAGGTGCAAAATGTCTGATACGGTCTCCCCACCTGCCACTGCAGAATTTGGAATAAGGTGAACTGCTTGAGAAAAGCTGTGAAAAATGTGTGTGAAGGAACACGTGCAGCCGAAATGCTCTCCTCCTAAATGTATACATTTCTCTGGTTGACAGCTGTGCATATATGGCTTCCACAGTCCTGTAAGACAGTTTCTGGAAAGCTGGAAATGCAATTTTTTTATGAAAATAATCTGCTGGCTCAATATAGACATGCATTATCCATGCCTTTGCTGTACTGCCAGGGAGGTTTGATATTAGGGCAGTGTTTGATTCCTTGTGCTCTTTTCCATTCCTCTGTCACACAGTTTTTTTGCCGCTATTTGCAAGGCCTGAAATTACTCACTGGTAAGTATTATTAAGGAACAATTCTTAGCATTTTAGATTTTCAGGGATTGTCTTGGGCTAATTTCCACAGCATCCCTGTGAGCTGAAATGGCCCACTGCCTTACAACTTGCAAATAGTGTGATGTTCATCTATTCTTTGAGCAATTAATCTGTGGGACTTCTGGTTCCTCTGGCACATGCTCCTTCTGCAGCAGGAGTAAGTCACCCTTAAAAACACATGGAAACTCAAAAGAGGGCCAGGTAGTGTGTACTTCAGCATTGCTTTGGCACTGCTGCAGAGCTACAGAGTTGTTGTGGATGCAGTGGGGAGCACCCAGATTTTGGAGAGGAAAATGTGTCTCCAGCTTGCTTGTTTCAGAGGTAGGGAAGCACCCTGGGACAGAAAAACGACTCGCTCAGAAGCCACTTGCCTGACATCCTTTAGGAACAAAGGAAATCCTGCAGCTCTCACAGTACAACAGTACTGCTCTGGAAGCTGGTGCCACATGGGTTAAGCCATATAACTGTACACAGTATAAAAATGAACAAAACTACTTTCCAGTGCTTTGAAAATGGTTTGTCAGTGCCCATACTGCACAGGATCTGTCTAGTGGTGAGAAATGCTGCTTGCCATTACACAGGCTGTTCCAGAAATGCTTCGTGATTACAGCACCACCTTCCCTGGCCCTTTTATTTAAGGAACAGTTCTTCCCTGGGGTTTATTTAATTCCTGTCTCTCCCAAAATTGAGGTGGATAAGCCTTTCTACCAAAGGGATATTTTTTTTTTATCAAAAAAATATTAACAGTTTCATGTTCATCCTGGCTCTGTGAATATTTGTATACTGGCACAATAGAAAGTTTAATAGCTGAAGGGTGATGCAGGAGCTGGAAGGAGAGCTTAAGGGTGGGATTCTTATAAACCAGTTCTGTCATGGAAGGAAACACCACATGCCTAATACATGTGGCATGAGCAGAGAAGCAGTGTCATGGTTATCACCTCTTTAATCACCCTCTCCATTCTTTCTCCTTGTAACTTTCAAGTGGATTAGCAGGTAATACTAAGTACAGAGTACACAAGTAAGAGTGGCTTACTTGTACTCAAATGCCTGAGAAAGAAGCAGTCAGCCTGCCCTTCTGAACTCTGTTCTTCCAAGTATGATCAATAATTTTCAAGAGTTTTAGAGGTGCAGAGGAGAAGAACTGTGGTGCAATAGAAGTTATATTTTAGGTGGAGAATTGTCAAAGATGCCAATGCCCCTGATGCATATACTACCTCTGGGCTTTCAGCACATGTCTGTGCTTTTGTCATTCAGTTGATAGTAGAACTGACTTAAGTACTCATGAGAAATAATTGTCTCCATTTTTGACCTGTTGGCAATTTGTAATCAGCTCAACAAGTACTAACATATCAACATATGTATCTCTGGAGACATGAATTATTTATATGGGTGTTCAAAAGGTCAGAAAAGCAATTTTCTTTTGGGGATGTACGACTGGCCACGTGATTTACATGGTATCCTCTCATCTCTGATTGTGTTAGCATTTTAATTGCTTATTCCGTCTGATCCTAATTTTGATTCTTGATGAGGTCTCACTGATAGTAATTCTCACTGAACATTTATCCCTAAAAAGATTCATTTATGTGAAAGCTTGTGAATAAAGAGGTGTAAACCAGTCAAATATCCATCTGATTTGTTATTTGAGCTGCTAGCTGATAAATGCTTATGTACTTTGATCAGTGTCAGCCATGATTGAGACGGAGACTTCAAATCAACTACCTCCCAGCAAATAATACAGGTATGAATTCAGTATGAAGGCAACTTCAGTATCATCACCCATTTTGATTGCTGTGGTACAGTATATATCCATTTCCTCTGCTGATCAGGTAGAAAAGCTACTGAGGAGATGTGTCATGCACTTTATTTTGAAACACAATGTATGACTCATTCCCCAAATATATCCACTGCATGCCTTAATAGTTTTAAGCCAGAAGATGAGCTAAGCAGCAGCAAACAACATCAAGAAAACTGGTTTGTGCCAAAAAATGCAGGAGACTGCAAAGTCCAAGGATGGGATGACAATCATGTATCCCAACAAGCAACTTCTTAGGTCCCGTAAATTGGTGCATTATGACAGTCAGACAGAATTTTGAATTCTCAGAAAGTGACTGAGGAGATCAGTACGGTGATGGGCAGCACTGGAAAAGGAAGCTAGAGTTGCTTACTGCCTCTGCTTCTCAGGAAGGAGAAGAAAATGGTTATATATGTGTTCATACATGGGAGTGTGGGTTTGTGGTGCTTCAGTCAGCTCAGGGCAATGGAGATATGGACAGGCTAAATGAAAGCAGATGTATAGGGAAGATTAATGCATGTTGATCTAACACAAATATTCATCACATGAACACAAACTTGGCCCAGCTTGCCATGCTACTGTGTCTGTTGAGGGGGTTTGATATGGTGCACAACCAGTATGTCCTTCCAGACACTTTCGTGAACGAGTTGAATGGTGAACAAAGAATAAGCTACTGTGGAGACTCTGCACTGCAGCTATTGAGGTGTTTCATGGGGAACCATGACAAAACTGCCTCCCTGCTTTTCTTTCTGACATGTCAGCATGCAATGCCAAAACACTAGGATCTTAAAAAAAACCCAAACCAAAACAAAAAAACCCCAGCATTTTTAGATCTCTAAAGGAATAAATGAGCAGGTAGTGTTCAGACAAGGCTCTCAAGTAAAAATAATTATCATTAAGCTGAGTGTGAATGTTTACTTGATTAAAGTCTTTTGCTGGTGGAATAAAAGGTTTGTTGCTTTTAATCTGACAGAAAATGTATAAAATTACTGTAAAGAGATTTTCCAGGAAAAGGAAGAAAAGCAAATAATTCTTGGGAAACCATTTTGAGTTTCTTACCAAACAATATAAAATCTAAATTAAAAGCTGCCCTTTCACTGACTTACTTCAGTATGGAAAGTAATTTTGAAGGTATTTGGCCATTTAAATTCCTTAAATAAGGCATTTTTTCTGGCGGCATTAAGTAGAAATTATAAATTACTATAAACATTAGGCCGAGAGCTCCTCTTTTGCTGGGCTCTTGTAAGCCTATGAGTGCTCTATTTTTTTTTCAGTGCGTGACAACTGCCACCTCAGATATGTTGAGATATATTACATTTATGTATGTACAGTCGATTAAAACCTCTGCAATTCAGAATAAACTGAAATCTTTCCCAACATTTTTTAAGGCTACAGAGTTACCTTGTCCTCTTTGGTTTAGAATTTTTTATTTTGTTACAATACTACTAAACATTTTATATGCGATTATTCCATTGTTTTGACGCTGTGAAAATGTTTTTTATTTGTCAGTTCTAGGCAACTGAAGAGTAACAAAATTCCTTTGAAAAGTGATGCTGTGAGGTTCTGGGGATGTCAACCTCCTTTCAGTCCACAGCAAAATCTTATATCATGAATTTCTGCAGAATGAAAGCTATATTTACTGGACTGCTCAGAGATTTTATTTCCTTGGGATGTGCTACAAACAATAAAAATATTGCTTTTGTTAATGACATAAATACTAGGAAATTATTTTCATTAATCATGGATCAGCTTTTTTCTCTGCTTATTTAAAACTTCAAACTATCCATCAAATATTAAAATTGTTCTTTCTCTGCAGTAAACGGAAACAAAAATGCTGTACTTGGGGAAATCTGTTAATCCTTTCTAGAACCTCATATTTTAGAGGGAAGTATTATTAAAAAAAAAAAAGATTTCTTGACTCAGCACAACAGTTGCAACGTGAAAAATGGAAATTCTATGACAACTTCAGCATTATTTTGCCTTGGACTTTAAGTAGTCTCAACCAGTTTGTTTAGACAGACTCCTCTGCAGTCAGTGGCAGCAGCTGGTCTGACCAACAACAGAATAAAGATTCTTTTCAAAAATCTTTAGCAGTCATTTCTCTAAAAGCTACTATCATAAAGGATATAGAGACTGTGTTAATAACAAAAATTTATAAGCACACACCTTGTTCCTATGCTTATGGAAGACAATGACAAAGCTCTCATTAACCTTGGTCCTGAAGGATCAAGTTGTTTCCTCTTATAACCTCCAAGTGATCTGGTGAAAGCAATTGATCAATCCTGCCACCACCATGTGGGACAGATGTTAGACATATTAGAGTTGAATGCACCAAGATGAAGTAATTAGTTCAGGTTCTGCAGTGATTATGCACTGAAGATGAACAGTACTCAGTTGCTGTCCTCTGAGTTAATCATCAAGAAATAAACTCTTCACTTGCTCGACAAGAGATTCTGAAAGATATCTTACAAGCTTGGATCAACCGATATTGTGAATGAAACATATTTTGGCTTATGTATTACGGAAATACATTGGGTATGTTCAGTGTGCAAACTCACTGGACACACAGTGTTTCAACAACTTGCTGCTGTTTTGCCTAACCCGTCAATGTCTTTCAGTCCTCAGCTGTCATTTGGCCAACCCTCTCCCTCCAATAACTTACAACTTTCAATTTCTAGTGTGCAGTTTTGTTCATCCAGAGGATATCTGCGTAGGTCCATCATGCAAGCAGCTGTTGTTGTGATCCTGTAAGAGGAGGGTGAAAAAAATAATGAGACTTGAAACCACATTTTACTTATTTGAGGTGGCAAGATTTTCTATAGTGGCTTTTCTCTTTGTTTAAATGTAGAATGGTTCTGCACATGGATTCCTGGCATACAGGATTCTTAAGGCTTGTAAATCATGATTAAATAATTTATACAGCACAATATACTGATTAATGTATAAAGCATCAGAGCATACACTGAATATTGTAGAGCAGGATTTTGACTGAAAACCTTATGTGCAAAAGTGCTTTGGAGAACGTTCAGCGATATTTCTGTTTGGGCATCTTATTTTTAACGTTCCTATTTCAGACACCTTCAAATTGTTTTGAGAATTTTTTATTTATAACTCATACTGCTGACAGCTTTCTTTTTTCATTTTATTGTCACTTACTGTTGTTTTAATTTTGTCTGATAGGTATGTGCACTTTCATCCATGCGGTAGAAATACAGGTAATATCTTATTTATCTTTAATTATCTTTATGGTTTCATGATCAGTTTATCATTAATTATGATAATTGAACATCACCTCTTAATAATGGCATGAGATAATCAAACACTTGTGAAATATAACATCGTATGGTGGCTACTTCATGAATGTTGAGAGTAACTGTGATTGCAGGTTGGATATTTCAGATCCTTGCTCCTTCTAGAGGGCATGTGAATTGATACATGGTCTCTAAAGATATTCTCCATAGCCTAAGACTTTTTGAAAAGCAATTCCTCTCCCTTTGTTATACCATAAATCACAGAGCATCTGAACAAATACTTACTGATAAGCCTGTGACATGTGGGAGGAAGGTTAAGAGACTTCATGAGGATAGGGGTCAAATTTTAGCTTTCTTAAAGGTCCCTTTAAGAAAGACAATCATATTGGTGTTTTCAAACTCACAAAAGTTTTTTGCCTCTTTTTTTTCTTTTTCTTTTTTTTTTTTTTTTTTTTTTTTTTGGTGATAGATGGGTTCTTAAATGCTTACAAAACTTTCGAAGCTGTGAATGGTCAAACTTGATTTGTAATTTTATTGGTCTCTCTCTCCCCTCCTCTCTCCAACGATTTCTACCAGAGAAAGGCAGATAACCTCTTTTCTTGATGTGGATTCGATCCTGTTGTTCCAGTTCCATGTTAATTAATACCACAGGAACACATTTTGAGATTTTACTTTTGATGTGCTGAAAGTAAGGCACCCTTACATGCTGTATTGGGGTAACAATCCTTGCTGTCACCAACTGCTTTATTACTGTGACATGCTTCAAAATATCCTAAGTCTACAAAATTCATCTGTCATATCTAAGTATAAGGACTAGAAATAGCTGTAATGAGAACCAGTCCATGAAACCATTCTGGAATACTGTGCAAAGTGCCATGAAAATGGTATATTTATACATTTTCTCAGGCAGATTTTTGTCACATTAAATTGAAATGCATGTGTCTTAACAGGTTTTGCATTTGTCATAAAAAAGGTCAAGGGCTTCAGCTGCAGTAGGACCTCATTTAGATTAGCCATGTACCAACTACACCTTACTGACAGGCATTGAGAAGACATGCAGCATTAATTTGTCAGATGTCTGCTTAATAATGCTTAAGATCATACGTAATAATATACTAACATTAGTCACAGTTAAATGCTTTTTTAATGAAGGTTTCATAGGGCAATGTTTTGTTCCCAATTAATAAATTGGCTTCTATGGTAATTTAGTTCACCTAAATCAGCCAGATTTTTTTTATGTACAGAAATAGAAGTTGACATAGTGTTTTCTAAACCACTGCAGAGGTGCAACACACCCCTGCCTCATCCTCAGACTGCTCTGTGATTTCAGGAACTCCCATTAGGCTTTTGCTTTTGAGTAACGAGTTGAGTGGTGAAGTGTACTTTGACTGTGCCAGAAACTCTTGCTTGGCTAAGGTGGGGGTGGCACTGCCTGTACAAGGGACTTCTGTTGCCTGACCAAAAAGGAGAATGAGAGATAATCATCCATCCTCTGACAGCTTTGGAACCTTATTTACCTGAATTGTAGCCTGAGCGAAACAGTACCATTGTTACTGAAGTTTTTAAAAACTCCAGTAATTACCAGCTTGGATTACAGCCAGGATGGAAGCCAACAAGCATTTTGCGACCCTATAAGCGGCTGTTTTAAGTGAGGCCCTTTGAGCTCTCCTGGAGTGCAGTGGGATGCAGCAGCATCTCTCTCTGACAGGGAAGCTGTTCAGAGCTCACCAACTCTCAAATTTGCAATACTGGCAGAACCGTCACTGAAAACTGATGGTGGGACATGGTCTGACTCCCCCCTCCCCTAACTCAAGGTTCAAGTCTCACCCATTGAGAAATGACAAGGCATTTGACCTTAGTATTTTTGCCTTAGTATTTCACTGAACTTGAGGGGAATTTTCAACAGGTATACCTTGGTAAATTTTTGTATACACAGCTTTATGTCTGTATATGTTTGTGTGCGTGAATTGACTGAAACACACTATAGCAAGTCTAACATTAATGTTGCTTCTTGGATCTATAATTAAGTCACTGTGTTAACTGCAGTAAATTCTACTGAATCCTTTTACCAATGCTAAATTAGTCAATTAATAAGTGCAGCTAAAGCCTTTAGACTAAACTATATGGTACTGAAATTGGACTCAGCCTCACCTAGGCTCTGTCAGGAATTTAGAAAGCAAAGGGCCCCTCCTGAACTTCGTGACTCAACAAGAGGGTCTCCCTTATTCTTCTTCACTCTTTTGTATCCCCCACTTCTGAGTAAATAATTCTAAATTGATTCTAGTCAGATTTTCCTTTGTATGCTTCATCTATGAAATAAATAATAGAGTAAACCTTTCCATAGCACTTTGTGAAGTTGTACATTCATAAATTTATATAAAACCTGCTTTTAGTAATACATTTAACAGTGATTCTTTGAGTTACCTTAACCACTCATTTGAGCACAGTGTTTAAGCTATTTTCTATTGGCCAGTGTATCTATACGGCTGACTTCTGCAGTTTTTACATAAGTTACATAAGTAACAGCAATTAGCTATTTTTCATAACATCATAACATAACATCAATGCAAATTAATAGTGTAGTAGTAAATAATGCAGTTGTTCATACCTGGAATTTAAACACTCTACATAATTTTCCCCCCAGACATGAATTCTGACAACTGCATTGTCTTCTCACTATTTGTGCAGTTTTTGGCGCACTGCATTTTTTGCTGTTTCTGATCTCTAATATAATCCAAGAACAAAAGTTAATGTATGCATTACTAAGACACTGTACTGCTAATTGCAGGTGGGGTCTGGAAGTAAATGCTTGGATTATGGAGAAGAAAGTTAACAAAAAAAATAAGTTAATTTTTTCTGGCAGTAGTAAGTGATCCAAATCTGCCTGGCCTGCCTATTGGTAATTTCTCATCCTTCATCCTGGTTAATCACTCCTTGTGATGCTACAAGGAAAGGCAAAACAAAGCACTTCATCTATGCTCTCTGCCTCCCTCAGGTATGTTTTGTATTCCGTATAGGACCTGTGAGGCAGCCTCTGTGCTTTAGAACTATTCTTCATACTTTGGGGAAGGTGGGGAGCAGCTTTCCCCTCATGACTCTTGCAACCCCTTAGCAGCAGTGCTGAATGCTACTGTGGTTCTCTGGTGCAATAGCAAGCAGGTGCTTCCACGGGAGTTAAAGGGCTTTTGCTGAAGTTTGCAGAGATAAGGGCTGCATAACCTGAGACAGGAAAGACAGTGGTAGGTAGTGGAAGGTATCTGTCAAGAAGCTTGAAACTTGTGGCTTCCAGCATCAGGAGAAACGATCATGCTTCACTTGTATATCCACAGTTTTGGAAGTGGTGTAGTGCCCTGCTGGAGGATTTGTCAGAGGCAGCTGAGCCTGGGCCATGTGAATGGGAAAAGGCCAATGGGAGCTGCTGGAGGCTCCTCCCTGAAGGGAGGACACAATGTTGTCCCTCCTAAAGCTGGAGGTGCTTAAAATTTATTGCGAATCTTAGGCTTTCTTGAAACTAGCTACTTGTAATTGCTGTAGGAGTCTTCACGATCCAGCAACATTCATTGCCTGTAATTCATAAATCTGCTTTTCAAGCATTTCTTTCTCCCTCATAGTAGAGCTCAGCTGTATAAAATTGTTAATGGTATTATGCTCTGGATAATCACAAAACTTGTTTAAGGAGATAAATTAAACCTAGATGCAATCATAGTAATTGTCTCAACGAAAAAAATAAAGTCTTTTATTATACATACGGTAAAATCCCAGACCTGTTAGTGGTTGTACTCTCTCAGAGGAGAGAGTAACTGATGGCTTGCACATCAGTTAAAAATAAAGACATTCAAATGCAGAATACAGGAGTGTAATGGCAGGAAGGGGAAGGAAATACTCTGAAGGTAGGGCAAAACTGCAGTAAATCTGTATTCAAGAGGATTAGACCTGAAAGTCCTTCACACAAGCAGTTTGTGGCAATGGCTGAATATCAGGAGCCTCTGTAAATGTTTAGGTGGAGGATTAATCCTACATTTGAAGCAGAACTATTTATATTTCAAAGTAGGATATGTTTCTTCCAGGCTTTCCATTCTTAAAATATGTTTTAAATTCTGCTGTTGGGGCTAATGTATTTTGTTTGTACAGTGACTTTGACCATACTGTCCTTACATTCTTCAGATTCATTTGGATACAAATGAAAAAAAAATGGGATTATGCAAAGAAGGTAAGCAGTTAGATAGAGATATATGATTACACTACTTAATTTCATTCATGTCAGTACTCAGACATTCAGGGGTGGAATGAAGTCTGAACCGCCAAAAGACAAGATAAATAGCATTTGCATAAAAGCAAAATTAACTTTTTTTTTTTTTTTAAATTGTGGCTTGGGGTTCAAGCTATCTGATCCATAGCTTAGCTTTGATGCCTTACTCTCTGAATATCATATTCTTACTGTAAAAGCAAGGGTTTTTTTGCTAAAAATAAAATTATATGAAAGAAAACACTGAC